TCACACACCGTATCTGCCAAAATCTCCGACGGCTCAATGCCACCGCTTACAAGGATCTCGATTTCATGGAACACCGCAGTTACAAACTGGGCCCGACATGGAAATCCACGTTGTCTGCGATGAAGGCTTCCAATCAACTATTCCTAGAAATGGTGCGCGTCCTTGGTCGTGGAAAGTCGCAAGGTGCTTAGGCAGCTGTGGTGTAGGTTTCCAGGCTGGACTTGTGAGAGAGAGCACGAGGTTGTCGCCGAGGAATGGCTTCACCCGCAGATGGCCGTCAGGAATTTGTTGAGCGGGTTTCAGTGTTCAGCTTCCTGAACCTGGAATGAAGACTCAACAGCGAAGCGAAAACGACAGTTCTGGAGTCCTGGAGTCGCGGCGAGCAGATCAGGGTCTAAGGCTCTTTACCTGAACAGCATCGAATCTGAAACACTGGCCTTGAGCAGTGAGGTAGAACGGTGGCGCTGCGTCCTTCCATTGCAACAAAGTTTATAATGGAGCTTCGAAGCTTCGATTGTGGATTCACGCTAAAGGCACAAAGGGGAAACGTTCACTTCTCAGTCTGCAGCAGGGACTCTTCTCTAGTAGGCACATGAGAACATTAGAAACAAGCATTTTGAAGCCTCAAGAGAACGGGAATTGAAGCTTAACAGCCTCCAATGCTCACCTTAACGTCTGCCCTGTTGAACCCTACTCTGTCTCGGGTTGTGGTGAGGTTCTGAACCTTCTGAACCACGTTGTTTAGGCGCTCTTGCTCTTGGTGTCGCTCTCGTGTTCCAATAAACAACAAGCTGCGCCTGAAAACAAAGCCAAGCCGCTATACTTGGCTTCGCAGCAAAGACTGTTGTGGAAGGTGAGGGTGAAACGTGATTATCCGAGAGAGCCTTTGTGGGTAGCACCACAACCTTGGATGCGGGCAGCTCGTCTGACTGCTTGCTGCCTCTTCTCATCCCAGCTCGAGGATGAAATCTTCGCCGAACAAAGTCGCTTGAATGAGGGTTGAAGCTTAGGAGGGAATATGTTAAAGTTGAAGGCATTCCCTCCTGACGTCTTGAGCTCTATCTGCTAAAAAAACTCGTCGGATACATCCCTTGCAAAGACTTCCCGAACACGATTGCAACCCGTACATGCAACACGCAATGAAATGCTAACCGGCAGCTGGACTTTGCTGTGTGTTCGGTGCCGCTGGGAGAATTGAAGACGGCGGTGCATGCTGAAGGCGCAAGCGAACCTCGGTGCTACATCTATATATATAAATAAGTAAATATAAATAAATAAATATATATATATATATATATATATAGCTTGCTTGACCGGCTTTCGGCTCGACTGTTCCTTGTTCTCATGAAGTGCTCGGTTCGCTCCGCAGTCTCAGGCTTGATGCCCTTAGCAGGATTCACCGGCACAAGAAACCATCCATGCAGCATGGATGTAAACACCGCGAAAACCGTGAATTGCAAGAGGCACATGTTCGACAGGAAGCGCAACCTAGATGCAGCTGCACTGTGACTTTTTCCGTGCCAGTTTCACAACCCTAAACAGCCCGGAGACTAGAACGATTCCAGCTTACAAACCGGGATGTTCATGGCCGTTGCCCGTGCAGGTGAAGCTCAACCCCGAAATTAAGGAAGCATCCCAGCTCAAGCCTTAATTTTCGCTGAGTCAGGGAGCTGGGTCGAGCACCAGGTTGGGCAGGTTGGCCAAGCATTGCCAGCCGAGGACTCCCAAAAGCAAAGAGCACACAGCTGCTCGGAGGCCGCTGGCCACTGGGACGATGTGCATAGCGCTCGAGTCGGCGGGGACGGGGATCAACCCCTTCCCCAAAAGGAGGGACCTCCTGAACACTGTGCCTTGAGAAATGCCTCTAGAACTACAACCGCCGGGCTTTGAGTCTCTATCCGCAATGGAAACTGCTTAGAAGCTGATCAAGCCCGGAGCTTAATCGTGCATTCGCACAGCTCTTGAGCCCCAAAGCCCAAACCCCGTCTTCTGGGTTTGACGGGTTGTCGTGGAACAACGCAGGATACAGCTGACTACTGGGAATATGCAGCTGGCGCACCACGACCCACAAGTTGAATGTGAAGCCAGTGGAGGTGTGTTCGATAGCACGCATTTGCTCTGTCCAACTATTCCATAGACAAATGTTATATCCGATACTCTCTCCAAGAAAAAACCTCGCGCAAATCAGTAGAATTCGGTGCGCCGCAATGCGAGACTCTGGGTAATGATGGCCCAGTTGTTCCTATATTGAAAATGCAAGCATAAGCCGCCTAAGTATAAGTGCCAAGCTCCACTTCTAGCTGACACGACTACCCTGGACCTTCAAGCCTCCTTGAACTTGCCATGTCTAAGCGCAACGGCTTGGCATTGCCGGGCTGGTGGCTGGTTTTAATGAAGCGCGAACCTTCTCTAAGATCTGTCTCGTGGACAAAACTATACACGCTTCGAAGTGTTGTGTTCGTCAGCTCCACCTCAAGTTCCGCACACAACTCGAAGTTCTTGTGCTTGAACTTCGACTTCTTCAGTGACTGAAAATTGTGATGACGCACAGGGGTCCTTCACTGTCTCGCATAAACAGCCTTTCCATCTGCTTCTTAAGGTCCGAGTAACAGACATGAACAAGAGCATTCAAAATCAGTCCAAAGCTCTGGTAGAATACCATGCAGGCGGGCGCTTCGTGCGAGTCCCAGTGCCGCTCGCCAGTAGGCCAAAGCCAGCGAAAATGGCTGGATTGTTGTTGAATGAACCTCACTTCTCGTATACCGACAACTGCAAGCTCAGGGCTCCAGAACCATTTTCAGCCGAATGAGCTGAGCTTGTCAACGTACAAGGAACTGTGAACTACTATATCTCTGCGAAATACGAAACGATGCCTTGCTGAAGCTTAGCTAGGCTTACGTACTTTCTGTTATCTGGAGCCGCTGTAGCCCGAGGCTCTGCTTGCGAATGTTTTCAGTAAGAGCCCGTGGGTTCTTGAAGGCCAATGGACCAACGGGAGAAAGGTCAGCCGAAACGGGAGTTGAGATTTCGCAGTGAGCGGCTGATTACTGCGGCAAGCTTCAACCGCATGAGCTCCATGGTCGTGGTCGTGGGATTCTAGAACATGGCACCCGGTAGGCTTCTCAGCATCATGTTGTATGGCACGAGCTCTTCTCGGTTGCTGAGAACGCCGTCCAACATGGGTGCAAGAATGAGTCGCGAAAGGAGGACCCTGCTGCAGGAGGTGTTGAGTTGTTCTCAGGATCCACCACAGCTCTGGGTGTCGAAGCCGTGGGCCCCACGGTGTATCGGCAGGACAGATGGAGAGACTTTCGCGAACCATGTCGATTAAGTCGAGCCCGCCGATATCATGAGACCTACCAGATCAAGTCTCATGCTGCTCATTTCATGCTCTCAGACCAAGGCGCTTTGGAATTCCTTTGCGCTCATAAACGACGTGGTGGGGCAAATAGAAGCCTGCCTCGCCCAAATCATTTTGCATGGCCAAAGCCACGCCGTCCCGTGCTGGTTGGCCCGCTCGAAGATCCGACAAGCGGAGGAGGTGCGGTCCGGCTTAAGGGACCGCCCGAAGGACCTCGCGCGCCTGGAGGCCCATCGCACGAAGCTGAAGTACCGGCGTGGCTTTGGCATGGGCAAGAGCAACAAGTCATGGGAGTCGCAGGATTCCCGCAGGGCAACTTGGTGTTTGTGGCAGGGTGATGCAGGGTGCCAAGTCTCCGCGGTATTGGCCGTGGAAGCAACAAAGTTGGGAGGCGCATTCGAAGACCAATTTCCCGACCTACAGTTCACAGCAAATGCTTGGTGTGGCTCCGAAGCCGGTACAAGTTCTCATTGCTGCAATCAGGGACCAAGACGAGGGGCGTCACATGATCGAGTTGCAGCGGGCCGAGTCCTGGCTTGCTTGCGCCCCTTGCTGCCAACACTCCAAAGAGTTGAGCGCATACAGTACCAGGAGGAAATCAAAGCAGCATGGCAGCCAGGGCAAAAGACATACACAAACCAGCAGACTGTGGCTCAGGCTCCGGTAAGGCAAACAATCGATGGTCAGCATGCCCTCGCCGACGAAACTATGCCAGAAGCGCTTTGGATGGTACCTAGCCTTGTGTGACTAGTGCACCACAGGGAGGCCAATTGCGATGGGAGGAATCCTGCATCCCATGCGCCAGACTCTTTAGTATCGGGGTAGCCTGGGCTGGTCACGCGGCCCATGTTCATGGTACCGCACAAAAGAACATTTACTAGTGCTCCAACCCCTCCACACTGTTTTTGTCACGAGCTGCGCTAAAGAGCGGTAAGGATCATTTGTCGAATGACAAAGATGTGAAAACAAGGTGCGCGGCCGACCCCCCGGAAGAGCGACATGCCCAGAGAAAGCCCGAAAGCGGCCGCCACGCCCCTCGGGCATGCGCACCCGGAGGCCAGCGCACCAAACAGCTCAAGCCACAACCTTCCCGGCTGTCCCCGCAATGAGGGTCAATACCCAAAAGCAGCCCCTGGCATCCGAAGCGGGTGCCGCACAGCCAATGCCAGGTCCCCACGTGGTGGCGCACAGGGGTGGAAGGAGGGCCAGGCCGAAACTGCGTGACACGGGGAGTCGCACTGTCGAACAGGGGACTGCTTTCTAGTGCTCCAACCCCTCCACACTGTTTTTGTCACGAGCTGCGCTAAAGAGCGGTAAGGATCATTTGTCGAATGACAAAGATGTGAAAACAAGGTGCGCGGCCGACCCCCGGAAGAGCGACATGCCCAGAGAAAGCCCGAAAGCGGCCGCCACGCCCCTCGGGCATGCGCACCCGGAGGCCAGCGCACCAAACAGCTCAAGCCACAACCTTCCCGGCTGTCCCCGCAATGAGGGTCAATACCCAAAAGCAGCCCCTGGCATCCACCCCACCCTTTCGGCGCAGCTAGTAGCCGGCTCAAGGAAAGGACGAGGTGAGGAAGGCAGAGAGAAAGGACACGGGTGGGAGGGCGGGGAAGAGTCAAATGACTCTACACGCATTTCAGATGCTTTGGTAATCAGCTCTGGCTTTGGTGGCCAAGGCCTGCACCTGCCGAAGCTTGCCCGGTTGCAACTGAAGCTCAGACAATTGAGCAAGACCATCGCAAAGGTAGATGCGGGCGGTCCGAACCGCAGACCAGCGGCCACGAAGGCACACACTGGCCAGGTTATTGGAGCGGCGGAATTCATGAGTGGCACCACCGCGACGTAGGGAGTACCATCGGTAGGGGGCCGTAATTGCCAACTTTTCCAACAGGTCGTTAAGACGTTTCCGCTGGAGTCCCGGAGACACTTGGGAGAGAAGATCCCCGGGTTGCTTATGCTTGCAAAAGTTGGAAATAGCGGTGCCCACGAAGGTGTCATCGATTGTGAGTGATTCCACGGCCCCTTGCCGTTGGCCACTGTTGCTCATCGGCAATGTCCAAGTGCCTTTGCCCCGGGAAAGAACAAAGTCACCAGCTTTAGCCGCGAACAGCTCCCCCGACCGTGCAAAAGTGTGGAACCCCAACAAGAAGAGCACGGCTGTGTCCTTCCAACCGGCCTCAAAAGCCATCTGGGCGAGAGCATAAATCAAAGCCACTGTAAAGGGAGGTGCCCGAGCAGGTAGTTCAGAACGACCCCATGCCGCATGAAGACGCCAACTGGCAATGAGATGGGGTTTGACCGAAGGGATGAAATGACCAAGCCCACTGAGCGTATCACTGGCATATGCCTTGGGGTCCCCATCCTGCCACAGCTCTTCAATAAAGGATGAAACTTCGCGATCAAGAATGAGAAAATTTGAAGGATAAGGCTTATGGTGAAAAATCAGGAAGGTGAGAAAACGTGAAACAACAACAAGGTATCTACTTTCAGTTTTAGGAGCAACAACCTGCGACTGCAAGGCTCCCAACGCTTTCCGCTCCTCTTTTCTTTCCTCCTTTGTGCGCTTTCCGAGAACTGCTCTACGTTTAGGCATCACCGCTGGCTTTCTTTTTGACCCAGCGACTGGGACCGTCGCCTGGGTTCCATTCGGTCTTCACCCAAACCACAAGCAAGCGCACGTTGGAGGCCAGCTGGAGCGCCGTGATCCGTCTGAGCGGGTTCTGCATCATCCTGGCCGAGCTTCGCCCCTTTGCCAGGATACCCACCACTCCTTGGTTGTCAACCATCAGGATCAACTTTCTGTTGGTAACATCTGCAGTGCGCGTAAGCTTCTTCATCAAGTCCAGCACCGCCACCGACTCCAACAGTGTGATATGACCTTGTTGCTTCCATTTGTAGCTCAGCAGAACTTTCCACTGCCAAAGCGTTGGATCCACCGACCGTCGCCCGAAGTCCGAAGCCACGAACGGCAGCCCCATGTCCAACCTGACATCCGTGCCCTTGTGTGACACATTCCTCCCCACCAGCATCGCCAAAAACTGCTCGTCGCTAAGCCGGTGGTCGGGGTCCAGAGCCAATCGAACAGGCAGGTCGGCGTGGGACACACCCAAAGATCGGAAGTGCTCCACATTGACCCGCCCGCTCGACCCTGGCCCAAACTTCGCACTCCAGGAGGCTTGCAACAGCTGTTGGGACCGTGCTTCGCCGGCCTCCCAAACCTTCCACAGCTCCGCGCTGAGGTCACGGCTTCCAGCTTCGGACAACGGCAGGACGAGGTTCACCAAGAGCCGCGCCGCAACCACCACTGGCCAGGAGCTGCTGATCATCTGCTGCTTCTGGTCCTCCGTCACCTTTTGCTTGAAGGTGAGGTGGTCACTGAAGAACCCAAGCATCCTCAGCTGCTCATCCGACTGAAGCCGCCGAACTCCCGAGCTTCCTCTCACCATGTTGGCCTCCACGTAGTGGTGCGGGGGAAGTCGCCAGCTGTCGCCTTTCCACCTTCCCAAGGTCCTGGAATCCAAGTCATCGATCGCCGCCTCCCTTGGTGCCACCTGCTTTGGCTCGGGCCTTCCAAAGGAGAAGAAAGCATCATTCTCCTTGTCCAGCTTGTGGCACCCGGGTCGAAGGAAGGTGCTGAGAGGCGGCCGCTCTGTGTCGAAAACCATGGAGGTCGGCTTCCCGGGCTTCAGTTTCATGTCCCCAGCTGTGACCAGATTCAAGCCACGCAGCCACCACATCCGCGGTCGTCGGCATCGCATCAGCTGAGCTCCTTCCACAAAGAAGACCCCGGCGTCCAGCTTGGAGCACATCCGGTCCAGGGCCTCCTCCTTCATCACCACATTCTCATAGATCTCGACGATCTCCCAGGGGCCCAGCTTGACCGCCTTGCTCGCCTGACCCAGCCAATTGCGGAGCTGAATCATCATGTCCAGGTGCCCATCCATTTCAGCGGGCCCACCTGAGGAAGAGGGAGCCGCAAGGCCGGAGCCGCAGCCCGGCCAACCTCCTCCAAAGATCACCTTGGCAACCTTCGGGAAGCTCCGCCGCCAGCCCTTCACATCCTCAAAGGTGATCTTCTTGATGTCCCCGTAGGTCAGGACATATCCACATTGCCGTCGCACCAGCTTGGTCCCAAGCTCGCTGGTGTCGATGTAGATAAGCCCCTGTGGCTGCAGTCCCAGCAGCTGACATGCCTGCCTCAGGCCACCCATGCCGCCGAAGACCTCAATGATGAGCACCGGGTCGCAGGAGCCACCAAGGTCATCCCCGGACCCCAGCAAATGGCACTTGGCCCGGCCACGGGCCTACAGCCCGGTGGTCACACAAGCCCCGCCACCTTCGAGCGAAGCATCGGTAGCATACACATTCGGCGAGATCTGGACCCGTTGGTCCATCCAGTGCATGGGCAGGGAGCTGATGATCATCAGGAGCTCGTCCTCCGCCCCAATGCTGACTCGCATGCGCCCCGGCCCTTCACTCATCTCGCGGTAGAGCTGGTCGAAGAGGCAGGCCAAGGGCCGGCAGAACTGCACTGAGTGCATAGCCTTGCCGACCACAGAGAGCAACTCCTGCGATCCACGGGGCTCGCCTGGCTCAACACAGAGTATCCGAAGGGTGGGCCCAAGGACCGCCCAACGGAGTTTCCGTGCCGATCCGACAAGCCCGCGGTCACCCAGCTGTTCGGCTCCCAAAGAGCTCCAGGCAAGCGTTCCTTCGGCCGCCTTCTTGGGGTCACGGCCCACGTTCCAAACCTTGAAAACCTCGCGTAGCTGAAGCTGAGCATCCGACGGCCGGCCCTCATAGATTCCGGCGTCGCAAGCAGCCACCACCTTGAAGCCATCATAGTTGTCCACATAGAAGCTGTGGTAGTCCCGAGGCGTGCTGAGGGGCATCAGAGGTGCAGGCTCCCCCATTCGCACCACACGCTCAGCCGGCACCCCGGCCAAAGTCCCAAACCTCTCCAGCGAGCTTTGGATGAAGTCCACGATGTTCGACCACCCCATAGGGGCACTCTTCACACGGGGCCGGCTGTTCAGGCTTCCCCTGCCGTCGTTGAAGCAGCTGCTGGCCGCCACCTTTCCAATCACGAAGTACCCCCGCCACTTTGGAGAGGGCGCGAAAATGTGAAAACAGTGGCGTACATCTTCGGCATAACAGAGTATCACTTCGTCTTCCAGCAGGGCAATTTGCCCCCAAATTGGGGAGTAGCCCATGTGAGCCGAGGGCTGTCCAGGCACCCGGGCCTGCACTTGATTGCTCGGGATCAAGTTGATGATCAGCCGGAGGGTCCTCAGCCATGTTCCGTCTGGCTGCTCCTGCCATCCTTTGTGCACGCCGAACATGCCATTGTAGACGGGCTCACCCCTGATGTGCAAGGTCTCTTCTGGGACCTCTCGCTCGAGCATCCCAGCCTCCACCAGGTGCGACACGATGAGGTCATACTCCTCGCGGCTCTCAACCAGAACAGAGGCTGTCGTCACTGCCTCGCCCAGCTCCTGGTCCGGTATCCTAAGGAGCTCAGGGTCCTCCACAAAGGGCCGCAAGGACGGGTCCACCGTCTCTGCCAGGGAGATCCTTCCAGCATCCCCCGGTTCCGGCACATGCGGCGCGATGGCCGCCCAAGAGAGCTTGTAGGCCTTCTGCACCTCACGCCCAGCATACATATCTCCCAGAGACTGCCGCAGGCTCTCCCACGAACCAATCTCGATGCCATCCTTGCCCTCGACAAAGAGCTCCGCATAGCCCCGCAGCCGCTCTCCAGTAGCCTTCTGGGCAGCGGTCCAAGCCGCTGGGTGCAGGAGCCCTTGGCCCAAAATGTGGTTGGAACCAGCCCACAAGTGATTGAGCAGCGCCACCTGCAGCCAAGTCCAGGCTTCTGCGCCGACCTGCTACGCTTGCTCCACGATCTCCAGCCAGGTCTCCGATGGGAGGTCATGTGCGCCCCAGGCTTCCAGCATCACCTTCATCACCCGAATCATCTCAGGGCTCTCTTTGGGGAGCGCCATCGGAAGAAGTTCCACCGGCGACTGCTTGAAGTGCTCTTTAGCGCAGCAGGGCAACACTCGAACGAATGTGCCCAAAGGCCCCCCGGCCTTGCTCTCAGCCCCAGGCTGAGCACAACACCGAGGAAAGAAGCAGGCGCCGTAGGCCGTCCCAGCAGCCAAAAGCCCAGCCACTTCTTCCAGACGGCCTCGTTCCACACAGGCTGCGCTTCTCGGCCAAGGACGTAGGTGCTGATTGCCGCATAGGCTGTATCCTCCTCACCCTTGTGCACATAGAGAGCCCTTCCGTCCAAGGCCTCCTTGACCTGCCCCACCACCAGCTGCTCGTAGTAGGGCTCCTGGAACACGGAGCATGGCAGGCCGCCGCCACCACGGCCAACATAGATGCCTCCATCGGATCCGCGCCATCCTGGGTAGTACTCACGGATCTCCACCCCATTGTGCCGGCCCAGCAGCCGACAGAAAGTGACCGGCACACCTAAGCCAAACAGCTCTGCAAAAGCCTTGGAGACCTGGGGACCATCGTGCTCGACCAACACCCCAAACTTCTGCGCAAGGATCTCCAAGAGGGTCTCCGACGGGAGGTCAATGTTATCTATAACAGTGCCTGCGAATTGGTAGGCAGCCTCCTCCTCTGTCTTTGGGGTCACCACGCGCGACATGACCTCCTTGTAGAGCGCTGCCACCTTTGAGTTCGCCAGGTGCCCCTCGATCTGCGACCGCTGCTCCCCGATCTCCTCCGGCATGGAGTCCAGCACCCGCTTCAGGATAGGGATCTCAAGCGGCTCCAGCCGGACCCGAGGGCCAGCCGTCGCCTGCTGAGACCCCTCCCCCTCGCAGTCTACTTCCAACGGGCCTTGCCCTTCTTGCCCTTGCCCTTTCCTTTTGCGCCGCGGCCTTTCGGTCGGTTGTCCGGGGCCTTGTCGTTGTTCCCGTCGGTCGCCTTCCCGTCTGCTCCTGGACCGCCGTCGTCGGCCGCCGTCTCGGTCCACGTTCGCCCCTCCCATCGGGGCGTCCTCCTAGGCCCTTGCCTGAGGGACCAGTCGGTCCGAACCTCCTGCTGGGCTGCCTTCAGCTCCTGCTGGAACATCGCCGACCATTGCCCCGTCTTGACCAACTCCAGCTGCTCGGCCTGCGTCCAGTTGCCCTGCAGGTGGGCCAGCTCGATGGCCTTGAGCCTCTGAACCAGGATGTCGAGTGCCCTCAGGGGGTCGTTCTCGGCGACCGCGTCGATCACCGCCACGATCGTCGACAACTCCTTGAAGTTCCGAGCCCCTATCTCGACCGCCGGGTGCGCCGTCAGGTAGATCAGCTGGAAGTACCCTCGCGCCACTGCCGGCAGCTTGGCCCTTTCGCTGCTGGCCATCACCCCTCCGTGGGCCTGAGCGAGGAGCTCCGAGCACCGCTGAAGGGTCAGCGACGCCAGACGCCCGGGATGCCGACGGTGCATCTCCCGGATCTTCTCCACGCCTTTCGGAAGGGCGGCCAACTGAAAAGACGAGTCGCTCGACTCGTCGTCGTCACTGGAGGAACTCTTCCTCTTTCTCTTCTTCTCCTTCGAGCTGCTTCCTCGGGTCAGCTCCAAAGCTGACCGCTCCCGGCGCCCCGCTGGGCTTCGTTTTGCGATCTCGGCCAGCAGCTCGTCCTTCGTGTCGCCCTTCTCCTTCTTCTCCTTTTCCTTCTTCTTCTGCTCGGCCGCCTCAGTCGCCCCCGGCTGCCCAGATGCTCCCAAGGCCTCTGCCAGACCAGCCACACCTGGCAGCCCGGTCTGCACTCCCAAGGCCGTGGGATCAGCAGTGGGATCAGGCGGAGGACCACCCAAACCCGGTGCCTCACCCACAAGCCCCGGGTGTGCTCCGGCTCTTGCCTTGTCTTCTTCAGTGAGCCACCCAACCTGAAGCACCTGGTCCATCCCCAGCAACCGGAAGACGTCGACGTGGATCGGGTGCCGATACATAGTGCTTTCTCCGCAGCTAGACTGCGGGCTTCCACAGAAGTGCAAGGGGATGACTCGGTCGAGGGTATAGGCCCCATAGGTTTGCTCCACCCAGTAGTCGTAGTAGCCGTCCTGGACTGCCACCACGTGGCACTCAAAAAGCCGTCCGGTCCTCATCTGTCGGTCGTCACCGGCCTCCACCAAGTAGGCCAACAGGTGCCCTTGCTGTCGGCCCCTGTTGTCATATCCAGGAAACTCCACCCAGGCACCCTTCTTGAGCCCATCAAAGTGGGACTCGCGAGCCCGGGCTCCTGTTCGCCGCCAGCTCGGCATGCGGCTTGCCATGCGCCCTGCAGGCGTCCTAACGAGCTGAGGGGGTGCCGTCCGTGGGATTTACCCCGTACTCCCCTCGAGAAGCACCGGCACCCACGCAGCTCCCCAGCTCACACTTCCAAAACAAACAAATCCAGGCCGAAACTGCGTGACACGGGGAGTCGCACTATCGAACAGGGGACTGCTTTCTAGGCCGAGGCGCTGTCTGTTTGGCCTGTGGGAAGTCCTACGGCCTACGCCTCGGTTGGGCGCCTCAGGCGACATCTGCTTTCTCGTGGCAGATCCATCATTGGGGTGCATATCGTGCAGAGCTTCCAACCGGACAACGCCCCATCCGCACGCCTGCAAATGCCTCCTGTGTCAGTGCCCGCCTCCTTCCGAGACCCACCCGGCTCCGTGTACCGAGTTCCCGCAAAGTTTGCTCAGCGTCAGGCTGTGTCAGAGCACATCGAACCCTGCCAAGTGCTCAGGGAAACAGTGAAGCAGTGGAACTGCTTTTGATCGACCCTGAGCTAGTTTGAAGAGCCTGACCGGCGCCAGACTACCAAAGCCTCCAAGCATGCCTTCGCACTAGGACTCCTACTTGGAACCCTCCTAGCCGGCATTCCCTTGCTTACGCCTTCCTGCGACCTTTGAGGGGCCCTTCTTGTCTTTGGAGCAACCACCCTGTTAGTGACAAGCATCAGGCTACGCCATGCTATTGCGTACGGCACGTGGCTCCTGCAGGCCTGTTGTGTTCTCGCGCGAGTTCTCGAGATTGCGCAGAGCCAAGGGTGTAGCTTCCGGTCAGGTGCTGGCGACTGGAATAGAAGTCAGCCCAGCCCCGCCACTGAGTGTGCTACACCTGGCTGATTTCGACTGGTTTCCGCTTTTCTAGCGGGGAGCTTTGCTCCCATGCGGCCCAGTTTGCGGAAGTTTGAGGGATGTTCGGCTCTCGGTATGGCCGCCAAGTGAGGAGCTGTGGAGCCCCCGGAGGTTGGCTTGTGGCGTCGTATGCTCGCAGGTGTGAAGCCCTCGAGCCGAGCGCTGCTTGAAGTCATGAAGCCGGGCCGTAGGCGCCTTGCCAAGCCTAGCCCTAGGCCCTATAGCCCTAGCCTAGCTCCTGGCTGTGAGGCTGCTCAGCTCATGGAGTCCTGTGCTGGACGCCGTGATGCAGCACCGCTACAAAGAGGCAAGCTGCGAAGGCTGAAGTTCTCAAGCAAATCGTGCATTACAAGCGAGACAACATGAACAGGATGCAGGAAGAACTCACGGGGTTCGTTGGGGAGACAAGGGCGGCGCATCGTTTGGGCATCGCTTCGGCAGTTGCAGAAGACGGGATCGTCACATTACGAAGTTCTGCCTAGCAAACTGTGTGTGTGGTGCTTGCCCGTGGGTCAGACAGAGCCTGTTCTCCGGGAGGATGTCTTGTCATCGAAGGAAGGCTCAGCTGGCAAGGTTCGGGATGCCATTCAAGTACCTGGTGCTGGGGTTTAAGTCGACCCAGCCATTCGGTGTGATGAGACCTATAGACATGGTTCCAGCCTGCAGCACAGCCATAGCGGGTGATAACGGCTCCTAAATGCCCCCCCTTGCATGTTGACGCTGTTCTCTCTCGTTGGATTCTGATCACACTACATACTGGGACTTGTGCGAGAGCTCAGTTGCATTAGTCGATGGTTCCGGTAGTTCAATACATGCACTTAGGCCTGACAACCCAAAATCTTGACTGTGCACAGAGAACGAAGCCTTTGGGCCAAAGCCCCGATACCGACGTCCGGTTCCCCTGCGACTTCCAAGCCAAGCACAGATGTGCGAGCCAACTGACACCACTTGACATCCACGCACCATGTGGCGCCTTGGGTAATCCATTGCATGGCCTTGCTGTTACTGACAAGTGCTTCCCTCATGGCCAACCAAGCCCTGGGGGTGAGCACAGGCGTCATTATCTCGACGATCCCCACCTCGGCGGCAATCAAGGTGGGATCAATGGCCCACACGTCATCTTCGTCATCTTCCGGTATTTGCAGTACCGTGTGATCGCTTCCACGTGTCTGGGTGCTTCTGTGAAATTTCTTGACTATGGCACTTTTTCTCCAGTGTCTCCAGTGAACCTTCCCCTTGTCGAAGGCCACGATGGCAGGTTGAGCAACCTGTGGCTGAAAATACCTTCAGCGATTCGGGACTGGGCTCCGGGGGTCTCAATACGTCACGGGTTGAGCCAACCCAACCATATGCTATCTTTGGATGTGGCAATACAGACTTTGTTGAGACAGTACAAACTTGATCGCAGAAATGCCCTCAGACTTTTGGCCTGAAGGAAATACCTGAAGTTTAAGGAGGGTTTAAGTAAATTGATGTGATGAACCCATCAAGGAGGGTTTTAAGTAAATTGAAGTGATGAGCCCCCGAAGAAGGGTTTAAGTAAATGGAAGTGATGAGCCCCCGAAGGAGGGTTTTAAGTACATGAAGTGATGAACCCCGAAGGAGAGTTTAAGTAAATTGAAGTGATGAACCCCCGAAGGAGAGTTTAAGTAAATTGATGTGATGAACCCATCAAGGAGGGTTTTAAGTAAATTGAAGTGATGAACCCCCGAAGGAGAGTTTAAGTAAATTGATGTGATGAACCCATCAAGGAGGGTTTTAAGTAAATTGAAGTGATTAGCACCCGAAGGAGGGTTTAAGTAACTGGAAGTGATGAGCCCCCGAAGGAGGGTTTAAGTAAATGGAAGTGATGAGCCCCCGAAGGAGGGTTTAAGTAAATGGAAGTGTGAGCCCCCGAAGGAGGGTTTAAGTAAATGGAAGTGATGAGCCCCCGAAGGAGGGTTTAAGTAAATGGAAGTGATGAACCCAAACGATGACGAAGGAGGGTTAAAGTAAATGGGTAAATGGAAGTGGTGAACCCAAACGATGATACCCCCCGAAGGAGGTTTCAAGTAAATGGAAGTGAAAACCCTCGAAGGAGAGTTTAAGTAAATTGATGTGATGAACCCATGAAAGAGGGTTCTAAGTAAATTGAAGTGATGAGCCCCCGAAGGAGGGTTTAAGTAAATGGAAGTGATGAGCCCCGAAGGAGGGTTCAAGTAAAGTGAATTGATGAACCCCCAAAGGAGAGTTTAAGTAAATTGAAGTGATGAAACCCCCGAAGGAGGGTTTAAGTAAATTGATGTGATGAACCCAACAAGGAGGGTTTTAAGTAAATTGAAGTGATGAGCCCCCGAAGGAGGGTTTAAGTAAATGGAAGTGATGAGCCCCCGAAGGAGGGTTTTAAGTACATGGCAGTGATGAGCCCCCGAAGGAGGGTTTAAGTAAAAGGAAGTGATGAGCACCCGAAGGAGGGTTCAAGTAAATTGAAGTGATGAGCCCCCGAAGAAGGGTTTAAGTAAATGGAAGTGATGAGCCCCCGAAGGAGGGTTTTGGAGTTCAAGGTTGCAGTTTAGGGGTGTGAAGTGATGAACCCCCGACGAAGAGTTTAAGTAAGTTGATGTGATGAACCCATGAAGGAGGGTTTTAAGTAAACTGATGTGATGAGCCCCCGAAGGAGGGTTTAAGTAAATGGAAGTGATGAGCCCCCGAAGGAGGGTTTAAGTAAATTGAAGTGATGAACCCCCGAAGGAGAGTTCATGTAAATTGAAGTGATGAACCCCGGAAGGAGAGTTCAAGTAAATTGAAGTGATGAGCCCCCGAAGGAGGGTTTAAGTAAATGGAAATGATGAGCACACCAAGGAGGTTTTAAGTAAATGGAAGTGATGAACCCAAACGATGAACCCCGCGGAGGAGGGTTCAAGTGAATTGTAGTGATGAACCCCAAGTAAATGGAAATGATGAACCCCCGAAGGAGAGTTTAAGTAAATTGATGTGATGAACCCATGAAGGAGGGTTCTAAGTAAATTGAAGTGATGAGCACCCGAAGGAGGGTTTAAGTAAATGGCAGTGATGAGCCCCCGAAGGAGGGTTCAAGTAAAGTGAAGTGATGAACCCCCGAAGGAGAGTTTAAGTAAATTGAAGTGATGAAACCCCCGAAGGAGGGTTTAAGTAAATTGATGTGATGAACCCATCAAGGAGGGTTTTAAGTAAATTGAAGTGATGAGCCCCCGAAGAAGGGTTTAAGTAAATGGAAGTGACGAACCCAAACGATGAACCCCCCGAAGGAGGGTTCAAGTAAACCGAAGTGATGAACCCCCGACGAAGAGTTTAAGTAAATTGATGTGATGAACCCATGAAGGAGGGTTTTAAGTAAATTGAAGTGATGAGCCCCCCAAGGAGGGTTTAAGTAAATGGAAGTGATGAGCCCCCGAAGGAGGGTTTAAGTAAATGGAAGTGATGAGCCCCCGAAGGAGGGTTTAAGTAAATGGAAGTGATGGGCCCCCGAAGGAGGGTTTAAGTAAATTGAAGTGATGAACCCCCGAAGGAGAGTTCAAGTAAATTGAAGTGATGAACCCATGAAGGAGGGTTTTAAGTAAATTGAAGTGATGAGCCCCCGAAGGAGGGTTTAAGTAAATGGAAGTGATGAGCCCCCGAAGGAGGGTTTGAGTAAATGGAAGTGGTGAACCCAAACGATGATACCCCCCGAAGGAGGGTTCAAGTAAATGGAAGTGATGAACCCCCGAAGGAGAGTTTAAGTAAATTGATGTGATGAACCCATGAAAGAGGGTTCTAAGTAAATTGAAGTGATGAGCCCCCGAAGGAGGGTTTAAGTAAATGGAAGTGATGAGCCCCCGAAGGAGGGTTCAAGTAAAGGGAAGTGATGAAGCCCCGAAGGAGAGTTTAAGTAAATCGAAGTGATGAAACCCCCGAGGGAGGGTTTGAGTAAATTGATGTGACGAACCCATCAAGGAGGGTTTTAAGTAAATTGAAGTGATGAGCACCCGAAGGAGGGTTAAAGTAAATGGAAGTGATGAGCCCCCGAAGGAGGGTTTTGGAGTTCAAGGTTGCAGTTTATAGGGTTTAGGGTTTTTATTGAAAAGCTGAGTTGCTGCTGTGAGAACACACATGTGTGTGCAGAAAGCAGAGAAGTTGTGTAGCAGAAGCTT